GATGGATACAGGAAGGGTGCAAATACAACAGATGGAGAGAAAATGCTTAAACAAATGTTGGATAAAGGGATAGGAGCATCGGTGGCTAAGAAAGGGGATGTATACACAGATGGGAGGATGAATGAGTTGATCAAGAACGGATACTGGATGAATATAGGATGGAAGTATAATGGGATACGTGGTTGAATGTGTGGATGGGTGGATGAAGGATGAATGGGTACATGATGGGTAGATAAACGAGTGGTGGTGAAAGTACGATATATAGAGAGTGGATGGATTGATAGTAGATATTGATATTTGTCACTTCTTTCCATGCAAATGTACCTCTCCCACTATTTCATCAATCACAATGCATTTCAATGTTTTGCAGATTTTTCACACAATGAACGCTTCACCCCGCCACGTCGACTCAATGATCACCACGTGCAATGCCCTGTCAGCTTTGCGGCTCACGACGATGATTCAACTAGGTCGACGGAGAAGTAAGCTGATGGTTGCATAAAAGCACGCAATATTTCATTTCTTTCCTTTGAATCTACCTCCTCGAATGAAAAATATTCAAGTAAGTAGCCCGTGCTAGTCATTTTCCCTCACTTTCATAGACTTTCCCTATTCACTCGGAGCGATATTTCCCTAGGAGGATAGTACGGGAAAACAGATTGAAGCGATCAAATCTACAGTGCGCTTCATGTCATGAATTGTCACCTGAAAGATTTCGCATATCATTTCATTTCGGCACTCTAACAATTCCACAAAGCAACTTTCATTTCGATAGGTGGATGCCGGATGGATGGATAGATAGACGGTGTGTTGGATGAAGCAGTGCAACGGAATTTACTAGAAAAAATACAAAATACAGTAAAGTGGACATAGGGCTCATTACATCGCAAAGGAATCATCGCATTCCTGATTGCGTCTACTGCTGCTCAACCAAATGTCCTACAATTCCAAGTTCACTCTCAAGAAGGAGAAAAATTCCCTCTGTGGCATATTCTTCCTTACTCAGTTTGTTACTTCATTCAATGCATATTTACCACCTTCACTGTTCTATCACTCACAATCCACTTTGCTCCTTGGCAGATATTTTCACACAACGAGCTCTTCGCCACGTCGACTCAATGCCCACCACGTGCGATGCCCTGTCAGCTCTGCACCTCACGACGATGATTCAACTAGGTCGACGGAGAAGTAAGCTAATGGTTGCATAAAAGCACGCAATATTTCATTTCTTTACTTCTGATCTACCGCTTGGAATGGAAAATATTGCAGTGAGCTGCCTGTGGTAGTCATTTTCCCTCACTTGCATAGCCTTCCCACTTTCACCAAATTCAACTGCCATACATCATGCTTTTCATTTTGAAAAAGGCACTTTGCGT